ACCACCCTGCTTCGGACTCATCTGTTCTGATTGACCCAGAGCAGTGATTCTATTTGGATCTTATCCAAGGTTAGAGAAAGAAAACTTAGGCAGGAATCATGAGACTTGCATCTAGTCCCAGCTCTGTCACCACAGCAAGGGTAACCTTGGGCAAGGTCACTGAACCCCTCTGAATGTCCCTTTGACTATAAAATGAAGGGGTTGATGAGAAATGGTTCCCAACTCAGGGGTCCTTTCTCCCCTGTAGGGCACATGGAGATACGTGTGGGCATTTTAGTGGACAAACTTCAGGGATGCTGGCTCTCTTGTAATATGTAGGACAGACCCACATGAGAAAGACTAGTCCTGGCCCAGAGCCAATGAGGTCCTTCCTGCCAAACCCTGGAAGATACTCTCTAACTTCCTGTGGTCACCCAGGGAATGGAATCCCTCCAACTCCTCCCTCCACTCGGGCCTGCACAGTCTTTCTCTGGACCGCTGGAAGAAGGATGTTTGGAAGATGGTACTTTTTTATTTCTCTGGTGCCTTCCACCTAATGATCCTGGATAGTCCCAGCTTGCACTAGAGCAACTGAGACCCAGCCCTGACCTGTCGAGTCAGCCGTGAAGTTGAATCCAAAATTACCATGAAGGTTATTTAAGGAGAATCTTAGAAGTTCTGTGTTAGAACTTTGGCCCAGAGAAGGTAAATGGCACAGCTGCTGGCCCAGAACCTGGGTGCCCTGGCTCCTGGTCCAGGGCTCCCACTTCATGCCTCCTCTCAGCCATGTAAACTGCGTGCCTTCACGGTATAGTAGCTACATGTCTGGCTAGTGCACAAGACAACATCTGGCATCATTTTTGGAAACAAATATCCCGGGTTTCCAGCAGTAGGAGCAAGTGGGAAGGGGAAAGGTGAGGTCTGAAGTCAGGGTCTGATATTTGAGTTCTGATTTTCACTGATAACCGTTAAATTCCTGGTACATAATCTACATTTATCAATAAAATGACAATACTCTGGTCTTCACTCTTTATGATAAGTATGTTTTGTAGATTTAAATATTATCTGATATTTTTCATCGACATCTTATAGAATTAGAACTTGGGCCTTGAATTCAAACAGCAGACTTCACATGCTGCCTCACCACCTCATCAATATATGTCCGTGAGCAGATCGCTCTCTTCAGGGTTCCCTCTTATCTTCTACAAATGAAAATCAGATACCTACCTCATAGGAAGAATTAAGCCAGGCTATCCGTGTACCTAGGACAGAGAAACAACACATGGTCACTCACGGGAGCTGTGTTTGGTGTTCGCTCATAGCTGGCATCTTTAATAACCTGTGAAACCACGTCACTAGCTCCGCACTTCATACAACACAGTGACTCCACAGGGCAAGGGATCCCATAGGAAAAGCCTGTGAGAGCATCATGTGGGCCTGGAAATGCATCTCTGCTCCATAGGAAAAGCCTGGGCGTGGCAGCTGGGAGAGAAGTGAGAACCGAGTCTGCTGTCCACCTGCGACATCCGGTCTCTGAACCCAGCTTGACATGAAACCAGGGGACAGATGGTGGAACGAGGGCTCCCAGATGCAGGGAGCTAGAGCCGGAGGGGCTGTGGAAGCAGGCGCACATATTCAGCAAAGACCCCTTGTCAACTGTCAGCTGCATGTAGGAAAAAAGAGGGTTGGGGAGGGGGGAGATGGAGATAGACACTCTCCAGGTGGCTGTAGAAATGGCCCAGGTCAGGATGCGGAGGAAGTGGAAGGAGGGAGCATCTGAGAGGCATGTACAGGTGGCTGGAGGGAGGTGGGTGAGAGGGAGTCATCCCTGTGTCTGGACTTCCTCACTAACTCCAGGGCCTGGAGCACAGGTACAGATGCTGTGAATCAAGTCAGAGGGGCCAGTTGTAGGAGCTAGTTCTCTATGAGGTCATCTGTTTGCATTGGACATCTTGGTTTAATTTCTTTCTTTTGCGCATTCACTAGTTCATGCATTTGCTCATCCAAAAGCATTGTTGGGCATTTGCTACATGTCCATTAGCACTGTGCTAAGCTCTGGGATGCCAGAGGGATAAGAACTTGCCTTCTGCCCTCGGGAAGGTGGAGATAAGGTGACAAACAGACAGTCACAATATAAGGTGAGTGGTGTTGAGATTGAGGTGCACCAAGGACGCCAAGAAGCAGAGAGGAGGGGCGCCTAACCAGACTGGAGGCTGGGGCGCGAAGAAATGAGGTAATGTCTCAGCTGAACTGAGTCATGAAGGAGGAGCAGAGCTGAGCCAGGCGGGACTGGGAGAAGGGCATTTGGTGTAGCGGGAGCAGCAGGTTCAAAGGCCCCGAGACAAGGGATGGAATGGCCCAAGTCTGAGCCCTGCCAAGTCCTTAAGTCTGACTGGAATGTAGAATGCGGGGGAGGGAGGTGGCATGAGATGACACAGGGAGTAAGCAGGGGGACACAAATATGCTCTTCTAAGGGGGTTTAAAGTGGGAAGAAACATCAGATTGGGGTTCAGGGAGATAACTCTAGCCTGTGGAGTCTACATTGGGGGTGCAGGCAATCCTGGTGGCAGGGAGAGTCAGAGCCCGTTGTCAGATTATGAGGACTTGGACTGAAATGTCTGTGAGGATGGAATGAGAGATTCAACTGATGTGAAAGAGCACTGTCACTGTACTGGTAACCTGTTGGATGGTGGTTCAGGAAGACAGTGAGCAGAAAGGAAAGTGTCAAGGATTTCTCGTTTGGATAGTGAGAAAGAGCATAAGAGAAAGGTTTTGTTTTTTGGGGTTTTGCTTTTTGTTTTGTTTTGGTTTTGGTTTTTGGTGGGAGCAAGAAGAAGGATTAGCTGAGCTTTGGTTATGCTTGAACTTGAGTTGCTGCGTCGTTGTTGGGTAGAGATGTTCAGGAGGCAGCCACAGAGCCACAGCTGGAGGTCAGGGGGCAGGTCTGAGCTGGAGATGCAGACTTGGAAGGTGCCACGTGAGGGTGGTGCTGGAAGCTAAGGGAGCAGTAGGTGAGCTTACCCCAGCAAGACAACAGCAGTCTTCCCTTATCCGAGGTTTCGCTCTCCAACGTTTCAGTACCTGTGGTCAGTTGAGGTCTGAAAATATTAAATGGAAAATTCCAGAAATAAACAATACGTAAGTTTTAAATTGCACGCTGTTCTGAGTACCATGATGAAATCTCACACCATCTTGCTCCCCATTGACACCTTCCCTGTTTGGTCATTGACAGGAGGAAGTGATCGGAGATTTGAAACCAGGCACTGAATATCAAGTGAGCGTAGCAGCTTCCAGCCTGATGGGCAAAGGGTGGCTTAGCTCTCCTCGGCATGTTACCACCTTGCCCCAAGGTAAAGTGGGTTCGATTCATTAATAATAGGGAGGTGATGAGTGCTCTTCATTTATTTCTTCATTCAGTATATGTCAACGAAGACCTACTATAATGCCAGGCACTATACTAGGCTCTGGGAATTCAATGGTGAACAGAACTGCTCTTGCCTTCTTGGAACTTAGTGGGGTGGGTCAAGACTTCATCCAATTAATGAGTAGTCACAGATTGTGATAAATGCTACCTGCAGTGCTGTGAGAACATACAAAGGAAGACCCGGTGTAGGGGGGAGGTAAGAATCCCCTGAGATGATGGATTTAATTGACATTTATAGAACATTACACTCCAAAGCTGCAGAATAGGCATTCTCCTCAAGTGCACTTGGGACTTTCTCAAAGATGGACCACACGTTAGGACACAAAACAAGTCTTTACATTGAAATCATATCAAGCATCTTCTTGGACATTTACACCATGGAATATTATGCAGCTATAAAAACAAAGGATCCCGTACTCTTTGAGACATTATAGTGGGACCTGAAGAATATTATGCTAAGTGAAATAAGCCAGTCATAGGAAGACATGTGTCACATGATCTTACTCTTATGTAGAATCTAATGAACAAAATAAACCTATGAACAAAATAGATCCAGAGACATAGAAGCATGGAACAGATTGAGGAATCTCAGAGGGAAGGCGGGGATGGGTGGGGAGAGATTAACATAAAAATTTATATGCATATATGCATAATCCATGGACACAGACAATAGTGGGGTGAAGGCCTGGGGGAAGGGGTACAGGGTGGAGAGGATTAATGGGGGGGAAAGGGGACATTTGTAATACTTTCAACAATAAATTTTAAAAAACAAATAAAAAGAAAAATGTTCAAAGTAAAAAAAAAAAAAAAATTCCCTGAGATGACTACTACGTGTAGATCTGACAGTAGAGGGAATTAAGAAAGTGGGGAAGAGGAGCGGGAAGAGAGATTTATAGGAACCCAACAAAGGCTCACTAAGGTGGCCCTGGGGGCAAAGGTGCTTTGATCACACGTCATGGCTCACAAGGGGCTTCTGTGGAGGGAGAAGCAAATAGTAAGCAAGCAGGTCCAGTGTATCTGAGATCTGTGCAGTGGACTTTGGAGCGCTCAGGAGAGAGCACTCCTTCCACCTCGAGGCTCAGGGAGGGTTTCAGGAAGAATCATATCGTTGGCCCAAATTTTGAAAACTGCATAAGATTTTGATAGGAAGAGAAAGCAGGAAAAATGTTTCTGGCAGAAGCAGTAGTATAAACAAAGGCTGAGAGATATGAAAGTCTGGGTATGAAAATAGTAGCAGCAGTTACCTTGGGGTGAGAGGATCATGGGTGAGACCTACATCTTTACCCATGAGGGCATTTCCCAAATGTCCTACCATTGGTATGTATTCTGATGAGGAGGAGGAACACACACACACACACACACACACACACACACACAAAGTGCCTAAGCATTTATTTTCCTTGTAGGTAAATATCAACTCCAACATGCAAACAGAGATGAAAGGCTGGGAGGAGGTGGGAGTATGACTTGAGGTTTTAAAGGGTACACACCATTGTGTGTCCCAAAGTCAATAATAGTTCAGTTGTATTTCCCTCTAGGGGCCTGAGGGAAGAAGGGGAGACCAGCTCTTACTGATTCAGAACGTGCATGGTGAATCCAGTTGTGAATATTTTTTGGTTGGGTTGTTTTGACTTTTGAGGCTGCTCCGCACAGAGATATTTAGGCAGTAGGAAGCACGTATTTTTACATATATGTATTAAACCTCTCCAGCAGCAAAGATCACAAGCCAACTAGCCTCTTGCTGTCTTGCCTAGATTCCTGCCTGCCTCCAACAGCACCCCAGCAGCCTCACGTCACGGTGGTTTCCGAGTCCGAGGTGGCCCTGTCTTGGAAACCTGGAGAGAGTGAAGGAAGCTCCCCTATTCAGTACTATTCTGTGGAATTCATCAGGTAAGTGTGTGTGTCACACCCAAAAGCCAAATGTAGTGACCTCAGGTATCCCAAGCATGATAGAAGACTAGAGGCAGCGTCATCTCAGAGCATAAGTATTTAACAGATGACAAAGGCATGGAGACTATATTTATACTCTGTCCTTGGGCCAGCACCTGTCCCCCCTCCTCTTCTGTGGTGGGTCGTCTGGTAAACCTGTCCTCGNATTTATACTCTGTCCTTGGGCCAGCACCTGTCCCCCCTCCTCTTCTGTGGGGGTCGTCTGGTAAACCTGTCCTTACTCACCTGACCTCTTTCCCATGTCCCTTCCACCATCAGAGACTGTCCTTGCTCTGAAAACTCCCGAGGCACCCCTGCCAGCAAGCCTACCTGCATTTCAGGCTTGAAACTTGCCTCCTGCCTTTGAAACATTGTCTTCGAAGTCAATATTTGCTGGTGCTTTTCTGGAGGGAGAGAGAAAAAGCCCTTTAAAAACAAGCACAATTCACCGTATCTGTACTGCCTTGGGCAAGTTTCTTGGTGTGGTTTCAGCTCTTTTTCCCCCGTATCACCTCTCCAGCCCTTGTTATTCAGTNCACCGTATCTGTACTGCCTTGGGCAAGTTTCTTGGTGTGGTTTCAGCTCTTTTTCCCGTATCACCTCTCCAGCCCTTGTTATTCAGTTTCTCAGAGGGTAGAAGGGTGATTAAAAGCTTTTCTAAGAGTTCGCAAATGTGAAACAGGGCTTCTCAGGGCTGCTGTGTGATTTTAAGCAAAAGGGGAAAAACGAGAGGCAGGAATTCCCAGTCTAAGGTCCTTGCTCGGATCCCCGGTGCAGTTGGGATTTGAGTCGAAGCCCCCGGCTGGTGAAAACAATGTCTGTGGAGCCGGTGCTCTCGGCATTAGAGGTGGTGGGCTTGCCTGGGGCGACTGCTTCACGGTTCATGAAGGGACTTGCTCAGTTCCTTGTTCTGGAGGCTCTCTGGAGGATCCTTCCAGGATTTGAGTAGCTCTGCTTCTGGTCCTTGGCTTTCCAGAATATTCCTTGGTCATGGGAAAGTTATTTGTTTCTCCGGAGAAGTTCTGCGCTGAGTCTCTTCAAAGTTTGGGTACAGAGCTTGTTGCTGGCAGGTTTCTTGAATTTCAAGTGGCAGGAGCTTGAAGGAAGATGAGGCAGTAATGCATTGGCTCCTGTGGCTGTAAAGACCAGGGGCAAGTCTAAATCAGGGAGGACCAGACCCGTGTCACATCGGCAGCCTGTCTCGGGCCATTTCTGTGCTACACTTTCCCCGTTGTTGGCCTTGCTTTCAGGGAGGCTCTTCCTGTAGATGGCAGGATGGCCACCAGGCACTGAAGACTTGCCATGGGCTAGCTTAGCTCCCTGCTGGGAAAGGACCCATCGGAGTCTCAGTGTTCGCTCCGATTGACCAGGCTTGGCTTCTTCTCTGTTCTCTGAGCCAATCATTGTGGCCAAAGAGGAGACCATGTCATATTCAGAGCTCTGGAAGCATGGAGCGGCGGGTCGTTCAGACCTGACATGGACTGAAAGTTCAAGAGGGTGGAAATTGTGGTGCAATTAATGGAAAAGGTCCATTGCTTTTCCTTGAGGATAATCCACAATCCTGCTGTTGAATGGATTTGGTAGGCAAAGCCCAGAGTAAGTCTGGAGTAGGAAAGATTAGAATTCTGGCTCCAATAATAGTTAAAACTATAACCCTGAAAAGTCCTAAAACTTCAGCTTTCACATCTACAAAACTTGGAGTGAAATTTAACAATTCTAATTTATCAGCAAAGCAAAACGTAATGCTTCAAAATTTTGAAAAAGTGCAAAGTTTTTCAAAGGTAGCTTCACAGATGGTCTGTGTAACCCCCGGCAAAAATGATGGTTATCATTTATTACTCATTTTGCACTAAGGTGTGTATTTTTAAAATTTATTTTAAGTCTGGCATCTGGGTGGAAGGTAGAAATTAGTTTGTTGCCTTGTGTGTACAACTGAAATTAGGAGATATGAGAGATTCATTGGATTAAGAACCAGAAGAACTGGGCAGGTGGCCTTGTGCTTGTCACTTGCCCTGCTGAGGCCTCCATGCCTCTCATAGTTTAGGGTCCCCCAGAGCAGAGCCTGAGACAGGATTTGGGTGCAAGTCATTTAATTTGTTTGGAAGTAGGAATGAGATGTGAAGAGAGTGAAAGAAGGAAGAAAGACATGTAAGGATGTGTTGCTCAAGTCACTTCTGCAAGCACCCGGGGCTTCAATGGGAGCGTGATGCCACTGTGAAGTCTACAGAATTCTTCCTCTAAAATTCCCCTGTCAGAAGGGCAGGAGCCTTCTACTCTCTGACTCTGTTCTCCTCTGTTGATTGAGTGTTTCCCCAGGAGTGTAATTCTCACCTTCTAGGCCCTGCTGGCTGTGGCTCAAGGAGGGGGTCCTGGGAGAGCAGGAGCTGTGATATGAGCACAGCAGGTGCTTGGGGTTGGACATTGGCCACACAGGGAGAGTCTGAGCTCACATGAAGCTCTCTGAGCCACAGCTGCTGCTGAAACCAGAAGTGGGACAAGGGAGCTGACAGAGGCCCCAGAGGCATTGACGACAATGTCCTTATCTGCAAAACATGGGTGATAACTCCTTCCAACCGCACAATGTGTGGTTAGGAGAATCAAGTGAAATCATATAGGAGAAAGAATTTGTAGACATTAAAAACCTACAAAAGTGCGAGGTATAGGTGACTGCTCTGTACCTACATTTAATAATTATCATTCCTCTCCAGCAAAATGCATTTTAACATTTGGAATTGCCTCTAATATTTGGGGAGGCTGAGGCCCCAAATTCTCAAGTATAAATATTTTTAAATGACTCACCATCAAAACAAACTGTTACATATTTTTTTTCTGTTTACCTTGAAAAATATACCTTTACAATGCCTGGAAAGCTGGCTTCAAACTTAGAGCTGCTGGACATGGTGGAGTTCCTAATGGAGCGTGGGAGCATGGGGAAGCCAACCCCTGGTTCAGCCCTGTACTAGGAATTCTGCCTCTATTATCTCTCCCAGAATATGTAACTGGTCACGTGCCCTTATCTCAGACTCTGCGTTTCCTCATCTGTGATATCAAGTTCATGTGACCCTCATTGCAGGGCTGTTGGTTATAGATTTCACACAGTGTGTACACATAGTATTCAACCAGCGTGTTATTTCTTTCCCACCATACCATTGTTTCCCTTTAACCAAGAAAGAAATTGAGATTCAGTTGTTTCAGTTGCTTTGCTGAGGCAAAATGATGATGGGGACAGAATTAAAATGGGAAGTGAAGTCCCTGACTTCCAGCCCACTGCCCTTTCTGCACAACCCCCATCTCTTCATGTCTGACCCACCTTCAGAGACGGAAGGAAGCATCGACTCAGCCCGCCCGGGGCCCCACTGGCCGAGGGCATGGGGAGCTCAGTGTAAGCTGCTGTTTGCTGTTGGACCAGAAAGAGAGCCTTCCCAGCTGGTTGTGGCATTTACTGTTTGGCTGCTGGATAAATCCCCACATTCATTTGTAAACATCTCAGAGTCTCTCCCATTACAGGTGAGTCCTGAGGATGTGTGTTTAGCGAGAGCTTTCCTGGGCTCTATAGCAGCAATTGCAATTAGCCTGAAAAGCTTTGGGGGTCCTCAGATCATTCTGTTTTCCTCAGAGAGGTCTGTTTAATGTTTAATATTGAATTCCTTTTGCCCAGACAACCTCCTGTGTACAGAAACACCCGTGACGGGTCTCTGTGTAAGCACAAAGTTTTTTGTTTTATCCAAGAGACGGGCCTTTGGAAGGCCAAGGCTGGGAAATTGTCGGAATCAATTTATATTCTCAGTTTCAACCATCTTAATATGAAGTCCCCATCTAGGTTCTGTCCTTGGAAGATTAGGTTCCTGTCCTCTCTCTCGGTAGGTGCTTATACATCAGTTGTTGTTCTTACTTATTAAATGAACATAATGGTAACAAAGGCATTGTTAAGAAATAGTCTTTAAAACCTTTATAAATACTTAACTGGCTAATAAACAATTAACCAGAGAACTTACACTGGACCAGGGTGTGGGGAACTGACTGCTTTTTTGCTAGTTTTAATGATGTCTCAGGTCGACATTACGTATTTATGATGCTCTCCGGGGTCCTGGGCTTCGGACCGAACACATTTTTGTTCCTCATGTGCCTCCCATTGCCCCCCCGAGTCGGCCTGGGGTTGTTCAGTATCTTCCTTGCTAACAGTGGATTTTTAAATTTTTAATCAGTGTTGAAAAGATTTGAAGAGGCAAATTCTAAGTAAGGCCTCAGGCGGTAACATATTTTGCAATGCTTTCAAAATTTTCACCTGCTTTCTTAAAACGGAAAAATCACGCATCATGGTGAAAGAGAGCATTTCTAAAGTGATACCGAAAATTTCTTCCCGGGCAGCAATGCTTAGCTTTCATGAAAATGAGAACCAAGCATAAATATAGCTACCTATGTTTTGAAATATTTTGGCTATAAATATCTGAGAAACTTTCCTCCTCCTGCCTAAGAATTTCCCCAGGGTAAGGGCCTTTCTCACAAGCAAAAAACATATACTATGCTGGCAATGAAAACCGAGTCCCAGATGATATTCCTCACCCCTGATGTCCCAAATGGGACTCCATGCTTCACAAACACTCTCTATCAGGTTGGTTAAAGGTGGAGAATACTTTTCATTTAACTTGCCTATAGTTTTTCTGTAGCATGACCGGATTTGTTGAAATTGCTTCAGAGCTTTGCAGTGTCAATTGCTGAAAAGGGTAGATTACGGTTTTCAGTGGCTGTCTTTAATCAAAGTCCACTGCTGGCTTTTTCTGGTGTGCATGTGAAAGTTCACAATATTTCTGTGTATTTTAGGGGCACAGGTCAAGAAATATGGATCTCTAAATCTCAGCCCAAGAGAGTTACACTCATCAAGGGGACAGAACAAGGTTTCCTTTCTTTTCCCTTTTACACTTTCCTTCCTAAATCATCCCCTGACCCCTTGCTTTCTGCCA